TGGCGGACGGGCCGGCGGACCAGCCAGCCAGCCGCTCGACGGGAAGATGTGGCTGAAGCCCGAAGAGGTGCTCCTGAAAAACGCCCTCAAGCTGTGGGTGACCCAGAAGACCAGCGGCTACTTCATTCTGCAGCGCCGGCGGGGACACGGCGACAGCGGCGGCCGCTTTACCGGCGCAGTCTCAGAACACCCCCAGAAGAAGGGATTGATAAACCACTTCTGAAAACTGTCCATCTGGAAAACCCTTGAAAGGGTCACCATAAGTCAGAATTGACTTGACAGCACACACCTGCCTGCCTGCCTGCCTGCCTGCCCGAGGGTGGGGAGGGCGCGGTGGGTGGGAAGCAGCCCGCCACACGCACGCCAGTTCCCAAAAGGGCTGGGGTGTGCAGGCGTTTCTGTTGACGGGTGGGGTGAGGGACGGGTGGGTCACCCGTGCTTGTTGGAAACACCGGCAGCGAGTCTCCCCACAAGTTGGCAGGCATGGAAGGAAGACAAGTCAGCCTCTTGCCGCACGGGAAGAGCTGGGCTACTTTGTCCGGCTAGTGGCCCTGGAGTCGTCCCCCCCCACACACCCCACCAAGCGAGTTTTGAGCCCCCCCCCGACGTTTGTGGCTCAGCAAATCTCTGTCTTCGTCTGCAAGGAGTCCCGCCACAGGGTGGTTGCATGCGAGTGTTTCTCTAGCCAAAGTCCGTCCCTGGACTTGGAGCAGAGGAGGAAGTAACTTCCCCGAAGGGAGGTGAGGCACCCCCGCCGTGAGGGAGCTGGATCAGGACTGCTGCGGCTGTGTCTTGGGGTGGGGGAAGGAGATGGACGGGAATAAACAAGGCTCTTTGTTTAGTCTTATTCTGGCAAGGAGGCCCCGTGGAAGAGCGAGGAGCCTGAATACAGATCTCTCCCCCCCCCCTACACACCCACCCTCCCACCTCGGGCGTGGTTGTGCACTACAAATAGACGTGCCGTTCACTTTGCTGCTCTCCAGTTGGTGAAGGAGAGGAGTTGGTTTGGTTTCAGGGGAATGCGGGAGGAGAGACTCCAACCCCCCTTACACACCCACCTTTGGCATGTGATGAAAGGTTTCTGTTCCCTGAAAACTCCATTATTGCAACTTGCAAGGCCATTCGATTCAAAATGTCTCGAAGGCCTTGTTCAGGTGGCTGGGACAGCTGTTAGAAAAAAAGGAAACGGGAGAGAGGCAGGGAGTTGGGGAAGCTCCCAGTTGACAAGAGAGGCTGGAACTTCTGAAGGTTAAAATGAGGCCATAAGAAGATGTATTTAAGCCAGGCTGTCATATAAAACAGAAATCCGTCACATTTTGCAAACGGTATTAAATAAGTTTTAAGAATCTCTATGTAGGAAGAAATATCGGCAGGGATACTGTATAAGATATGAAGTTTTAATGGATGTAGACTTAAAGGAGTGTTGTCTTTGTGGTTTCTAATGTATATAGTTAAAGGCATACTTCAGGTGCTGAGTGGTAGCTAACAATAAAAGGTAAATTGTGGTATACTGTATAAACAAATATAAAGGCTACTTCTCCCTCCATCAGAACAGATTCTGCTGGAGATGGGGCTCAATCATGTTTAAGATAAATATGGATGTAAAAATGCCTCAACCATTATTTAGGATGAATACTATGAGTGTAGAATCGACAATGAATGTATGCAATAAGATACAGTATTAGTACAGTAAACATTTAGTGAATGCATTCAGAGTAATATTTCTGATAAAACAATCCAGGTTACTAATAGAAAGAACTGTTTCTGTATTTTTAATCATGTTAACATTCTGGTGAATACAGTATTGTTTTGGAAGTTAAATAATGGCACAGTAACCTCTTATACTGTAAGCTGAAAGTAATGGTTGCCTTCTGAAATTCCACTTTATTTTTCCTCTCTTGCACAACCACAGATGCCACTCCAGTGTAAACTTTGTCTGTGTGATACTGTGCTGGAAAAATTATTCAAACTATGAAGTGTTAGCACAGTATCATTTAAATGAGCAGGTAGTTAAGCTCTTTCTACAACCCCTCCCCCAATCTATGTACTAATCCAGACTTGGGCAAAGTGTGGCCCTCCAGATGTTGCTGAACTGCAAATCCCAACACCCCTCACTATTGGCTGTGTGGGCTAGGACTGCTGGAAGTTGCAGTTCAGCAACATCTGGAGGGCCACATTTTGCCCAGGTCTGTACTAATCATTAGACACCAATGCCAATAATCTATATTTTGGGCCTACTGAAGCGCACAGTTGCATGCAGCTCAAATTGCTAATGCTTTCACCAAAGTAGCAAGAACAAAAATCTTTGTCTTGCCATTTTTACTACCTCCTTTTTTCCCAGCTCTACCAACCCAGTATTCTTATATATTCCATCTCATATATCCTCATAGGAGCCCCAACTTAGACCGCCCGTAGTCCAGGCTTGGGGGATACTTTACTTTGAAGTTCTAGGGTAAGGTCCCCAGTGTGGACCACAATTTGTTCCTCACATATTTAAAGTCAGTATCTTAACATAATTTGCAATGAGGAAGTTGTATGTCAGGCCTGTTTCATGCCTCTGATACCCTTTATCTCAATAATACCTTGGTTTCATCAGTGTAATGTCAGTTGTAGCTCTTTCACATAGTGTTTACATGGTTTGCTATGCCCGAATCGCCTGGTTGCCAGATGGTGCGGGGGTATAAATCCAATCAATCAACAAGCAAGCAAGCAAACAAACAAACAAACAGTCTTCCGGTAATGAACCTTTGTTTACTTAGGTGAGCTGGTCTTCAAATAGCAGATAAGTGTTCTGCTATGAGGGCCATATTGAATGCCGAAACAGTCCAACAGAACTTGCCAGATCTTGTGCACCAGTGGCTTAGCTTTTGAGAGAGCATTGTCACCAAACCACAGTAAAGCAGTAGAGTAGGACCTTGTGGAGGGATCATAACAGTACATGCTTGTAAATCCATAAACTGCAGTGAATGAAATTATTTATTTTTATGCTGTCAGCACAAATATTCAAAAGGCCATAATCTGGACAGTTTTGTTTACCATTTTACAGTTAAGGATTTTTAAATTAACTGAGATCAAAGGGTTAAACAAGAGGTACCAGTGCTTTGGAAGTCCCTATAATCTAAGTCAGGCTTAAACATGAGTGGGAGGGAAAGGCAGTTCTGTAAACTGGGATAAAAAAACTTGTCAGAAAATATGTTAGATCAAGTTGTTGAAGTCTTGTAGCCTTTATAAGACATTCTGTGTAAGAGATACTATATTAAGGTCTGCTGATAAGTTTTAAAAAACCTTTATTGAAAATTCTTATTTTAGAATGCTACTCTTTTTATCATGTTGTTTATCTTGTTACGTGCGGTCAAGTGCCTTCTGACTTATAAGCGATCCTAATGTATGCAGTTTCAATGTTCACATCTTAACTATAATCTGTATTTTAAAATTGGATGTGAACAGGTGTAATCTCCTGGAGGGTCCATGTTTTGCTTGCTTTTTTTATCTTAAGGGTTGAGATGTGCTTCTCTCCATTTTAGTTCTTCTGCTGACAATATAATTATCATCATCATGTGTCATCAAGTCAGTTCTGACTTCTGGCAACCCTTTTCAAGTTTTTCAAGGTAGAGAGTATGCAGAAGTGGTCTACATTTCTCTGGGAGTTCTCTGGGACAATACAGCTTACCACACGGGCTGGCTCTTCTCCTTCATGGCGCATTGGGGAATCAAACTCCCAACTACAGATGGAGGTATTTATATACGAATACCCCTGCACAGGTGGACATAACGAGGGTTCAGCCCCCTGGGGCTGGGCTGTCCACTCAACTGTCGGCTGCTGCCGCTGGCGCCACACTCCCAGTCACTCTGGAGCTCGCAGTTGACTAGCCACTCCTGGCAGAAAAAGGGAAGACGAGCCTCCTGCCAGGCTAATGAGTGACTAGTTGACTGCGAGCTCTGGAGCTGTTGGAAGGGAGCATGGCGCCGGCGGCAGAAGTGGATGAGTGAGCCGGCGGCAGAAGTGGACCCTTGTTATATCCATTTGTGAGGGGGTATTTGTATACCCCCATCTCTACTCCCAACTTCTGACTCCACAGCCAAACATCTATAAAGGTAAAGGTTCCGCTTGACATTTACGGTAGTCCAGTCATGTCCGACTCTAGGGCGCGGTGCTCATCCCTGTCTCCAAGCCGTAGAGCCAGCGTTTGTCCGAAGACAGTTTCCGTGGTCACGTGGCCAGTGCGACTAGACACGGAACGCTGTTACCTTCCCACCATGGTGGTACCTATTAATCGACTTGCATTTACGGGCTTTCGAACTGCTAGGTTGGCAGGAGCTGAGACAAAGTGACCGAAGCTCACTCCGTCACGTGGATTCAATCTTACAACTGCTGGTCTTCTGACCTTGCAGCACAGAGGCTTCTGCGGTTTAACCCGCAGCGGCACCACATCTATATGGTTCTCAAACATCTATATATCACTCTAAATCCAGTTAATGCTGTTTTGTCCATCATGACGTGCTCATAATAGATTGTTGAGCTTCTGAAAAACTTCATTCCTCTGATAAACTTAGTGAGGCTGTGCATTTAAATATATATTATTTTCTTTTTAAAACACTTAAGATACTGTTTTGGATAAAGGGGTGGAAATGGTTTTCAGATTATCAGAAGAATTAGCCAACTGGTTATCTATTGGATGTAAAAAGAATTGGATATTCCTGAGCTGAAGTCGTAGTAGAAGTTTGTATTTCTAGCCAGAAGAAACTGCATATCTGCACACAGGCTTTCTGATTAAAGGAATAATCTTGAGACATGATGTTTTTGACTCCTGGAGTTCCGGCCTCAAATCTGCAGTTTTTTCCCCAAAGGCAGGTTTATTGGTTTCTTTAAAAAATGTGTATTGTCTTTGGATTTTTCTCTGCTATGGTTTTGATACTATGACATTTGGTTTGCTACTGTGACACTGAATAAGAGTAATCGTGCTGTCAAGTCAATTCTGACTTACGATTACCCTTTTCAGGATTTTCCACGTTGAGAGTATTCAGAAAGTGGTTTCCCATTCCTTTTTCCTGGGAGTATGTGGCTGGACAATGAAGAACTGTAATATATGAGCAGACAAATGGTTCTGAGCTATGTCACCAGAACATCATCCACAGTCAGGCCTTTTGTAGAATAAAACAACTAATCACGGGG